ATTATTTATTATTAGCACTGTCACAGTCAGCTGCAGAAACAGAAGAATGGAAAAACAGAAGAAAATGACAACACTTCTCTTCTAAGTTTTACAGAACTGTGTTCCTCTGCAGTGTTTTAGCTCTGTTCAGCAAAAGAAGGTAATTTTCATGCTTTTATACCTGCCAAGTGGAGCGTAGCAGTATGAAGATGTATGTAAAATTTTAGTGCCTGGAATGAATGGCAGCTGAGAAATCTGCCAGTACTGTTGGTTCCCATTGAAATTTCCAAGACAATGACTAGTGAGGAGGAACATGGCCAATACAGGAAGACTGGAGCAGAATGCAAACTTTAACCCCAGCAGCAATATCTAGTTTTCGGCACCAGCGTGCTTGTGGACACAGTTCTCTCTTCCCTGCCTCTAATGTTTGCAGCTCCTAGGTCTAATGGAGGGCACTGTGCTTTCAGGCCTTCACTTATGCTGTGTAATGCACCTTCAGCAAATTTGCTGATGACACCAAGCTGTGTTGTGCAGGCGACCCACCAGAAGAAAGGGGTGCCTTCCAGAGGGACCCTGACAGGCTCGAGTGGTGGTCCCATGTGAACCTCATCTCATGAAGTTCAACAAGCAAGGTCCTATACCTGGGTTAGGGCAATCCCAGACACACCTACAGGCTGAGTGGAGAGATGATTGAGAGCAGCCCTGCAGAGAAGGACTTGGGGATAATGATTGATAAAAAATTCTACATGATTCAGCAGAGTGCACTTGCATAAAACTTCCATAAAACCAGCTGTCCTGGGCTGTATCAAGAGGAGTGTGGCCAGCAGGTTGAAGGAGGTGATTCTCCTGTTCTACTCTGCTCTTGTGAAACCCCACCTGGACTACCGGGTGCAGTCCTGGTGCTCCCAAACAGAAGAAGGGCATGGAACTCCAGGACCAAGTCCAGAGGAAGGCCATGAAGCTAATGACTGGAGCACTTCACCGAAAAGACAGGCTGAGAAAGTTGGGGCTGTTCAGCCTGGTGAAGAGAAGTTTGCATGGATACTTCACAGCAACCTTCCAGTATCTGAGGGGGGCCTACAGGGAGGGCAGAGATGGACACTTCATCAGGAATTGCAGTGACAGGAGAGTGAGTAATGGGTACAAAATGAAAAAGAGGAAATTTAGGTTAGATATTAGGAAGAAATTTTAACTGTGATGGTGGTGAGACACAAAGAGGTTGCCCAGGGAGGGTGTGGATGTTCCAACCCCGGCAGTGTTCAAGGCCAGATTCAATAAGGCCTTGAGCAACCTGGTTTGGTGGGAGCTGTCCCTGCCCATATGGCAGGGAAGGTTGGGACTAGATGGTCTTTAAGGAGCATTCCAACCCCTTAAAACTCTGATTCTATGATTATATGGGTCTCTTTTGTTAGCACACTAAAGGGATATTTTGTTTTATTCTTCTCATGGAAATCTCTATTTTGATCTCATCAGATGAATGATCCAGAAACAAAAGGCTCGGCTGACTGCTAGTACACCTGTACCTTAATGTGACAGAGCTTCCCACACATTTTCAAATTCCATTACAGAGAAACTGAGCTGAGGACACACTAGAAGGTTTGGAAATGTTTTGAATGCCTGTATAATTTTATTGTTCTTTATATTTTAGCTCATAGAAATATGTACTTTTATGTTATTTACCATATCACACCTGGTATGTAAATTCAGGTTGCTTGCTGGAAAACTTGTTTTCCAAATGTAATATTTGATGTTACTGTGTATTCATGTGAACTGAAAATCTTTGTAATTTAAAAACTGATTACATTCTTTAAGAATTGAACATTGAGCAATGTAGTTAGCATCTAATGTATTAAAAACTTGTCATTTGAAAGTTCTGAATCTTGATTTTGGCAGGAATGAAATAGTTTGGGTCCTGTGCATCAGTAGTCCCATTAGATCTTGCCCAATATGTTTTGCTGCATTTGATTCTGAATTAGTAGTCTCACTTTTTTCATCTGGTGAACAACACATATTTCCTGTTGACTTCAGATCATTTACTATTTGTTCAAGTGTAAATTAGGAGGACACCAGACTCAAGCTCTCCTTTCCACTGCTCCTAACAATCTCATCATTACACCCGTTTAGATCTGCCAAACCTTTCATCAGATGCAGAAATGAATGGAAAGGTTACTTATCTAGCATAATAATTAGTGCATTTACCATTTAGTGTAAATCAGTTCATCAATTTAACAATGTTTACCTTGTTATAAACAGTGAACTCCCCTTCTCACACAGCTTATGTAAAGGGCATTATGCAAAGAGGAACCAGGGCTTCAGACTGTGTTTAACTGTGTCTAGTCAGTACAGAAGAGTCTGGGCTAGTCCAGGGACAGCTCCCATGGAAAGGCATGTGAGCTGAGAAGCACAAGCACAACACACTCCAGAAAACTCAGTGAGTATCCTGGAGACACCAACTCCTTCCTCTGACTCCATCGTAAGACAGTGATTCTCCTTCTACTTTGCTCCAAGGATACAATTGGGATGCAAGCATTAATACCTGTAAACATATAAAGGTCCTCAAATGCAAGACATCATAGAACTGCCAGGCCTTACAACAGCATTAAAGCAGCATCACCAGCAGCAGCAGGGTTTATCTGAGTAGGAGAAAGAGGTTTACCAGCACACACCTAGAGAAGCAAGTGCATTAGGAACTGTGTGAAACCTTTGTATTCCAGCCCCAGGTACTGCTGTACATTGCAGAATGGTAAGGCCTAGCTGGTGTGCAGCATGTGAAGGTATGTCAGGAGAAGTGAAGGCCTTCTGTCCATTCACAAAGAGACTGTACACGGACTGTTAAATGTTCCAGGATGGCAGTGTTTTAGCTGCACTATTGTTAAAGCATATGGAAATCACAGCAGTCAAAAGCTACTCTTCCTTGTCCTGCAGGTGTTTTTTAATCAGAGGGTAGGTTGTGTTTGTTAAGAGGTGGACATTGTCAGGCTGCTTCTACTTTCTGCTCTGAAAACAGCTACTAACAGCACTAGCTTAATGCACAAAGTGAACTGATTGGTGCAGCAGCTGAAATCCTGAAAGAGCTAGAACCCTGATTTTACAAAATGCTGGGATAAAACTTCAAATAACTAAAAAACTTCAAATAACTAAAGCAATAGAACATAATATTAAAAGAAAAAAAAACAAAACCCAAAACCAAAAAAAACCAAACCCCAAACCAACAGAAAATGGTCTTTCAGATCCTTGTGTATCCAGCAAGAAAACTGACATAAATAGCTTTTCTGGTATAAAGGCAACTACATAAGATATGTTGAAAATTCATAGTCAAAAGGAAAAATAAATACTTCAAGTTTTCCCTGTACCAGACAAACGGGATTCATTGCAACTACAAGCTGACTGCGTGAAAGTAAGGGGACCAGCTCCCTGAAATGCTTTAAAGTTACTGAAATGGGATAAACAAGTAGTAGGACCATGAGAAGTACAATCACTGCACAAATGTTAACTGAAATCATACCTTATGATACATTAGTTCATAATGTTATCCAACATAAGCAAAAGTAGGTATTATGTAATAATAATATTAAATAATATTCAATAATATAGTAATATTAAATAATATTCAACAGAAGGAATTCCAACAGTTTCAGTCACTTGTGTCATCTCAATTTTCCTTTTCATAAGAATTATTCCATCAAGCTGTTGACAAATCATACATCAAAGTTTATTAAGACAGAGGAAAAACAGGGGTATCTGATTTTGCACTCAAGTAACTGACAAATGCAAGTCTTTAACAATAAAGCTTCTATCAGAACCCAAGAAACAAAGCCATTATGCTGTGCAAACACCTTTCAATGAAGTACATACAGCTTTGGGCAAATAATATAATGTCTCATATCCCTATTGCCTGAAGATAATTAACTCTGTTACAATTCTGTTCTCCTGCAGTGAAACTGTTGCCCAATTCTGTGAAACTATTGCTAGGGATCTTTTCTAAGGTATAGATAAAGGAGTCTGTGAAAATCTGCTTGTGTTAAAATGTATTCTATTGAAAGACTTAATATTTTACTGAAAAAATGGCAACATTTTTTAACTTTGGGAACTATAAAGTTAATTGAGTAACAATTTTGTGGGGGGTTTTATTAGGCATTTTTGTTTTGTTTGTTTTTTGCTTTTTTTTTGTTTAGCTAAACTGGAACATCAAAGATCACACTTTAATCTGAGCTTGCACCCACCCAACTGAATTATCACTAACAGGATAACCTACTGCTGCTAGGCAGCTTTCAAAGGTGATACTTCTATCTGAAGGGGAAATTAACAGCCTCTTAGGGCTGTAAATTTCATTTCTACATAGTAATTGTGCATTCTGTCCCTTTCTTCCAAAAATGGCATGCTGAAATCAGGATCTGGAGAACATGATCTGCCCACCCAATTACTTACATAAGTAATTGCCCATAGCCATTGCTTTGTGCTCTACTGAACAGAGGCACAGAGGAAATGGAAGAATAGTATCAAAACACGTAACTCTGAAAGATAAAAGCCAAGATTTCTAGCAAAGAGTGGCAGTGTCCACAGCACAAGATCAGAAGGAAATTCTTGGAGCTGCGGAGAGCTCATCTTCCTGTGCTCCTTATTCTGCTGCTGTTACAGATTGTGCTCCTTGGCTCAACCTGGAACACCCTAACAAGTCAGAGAAACTTGTGGCAGACATTCTTGGCTGAGCCATTTCACCTTTGGTACTTAAAGAAACAGGTCCTAGACACACCACTGTCTTTCAACCATATACCACACAATCTGACTGAACATGAATAGAATAAGACTATTTACATCTCCCATTTTGCACCAGGATTTTTTACTGTGGTTTTGGTCCTAATCTTCTTGTGGAAGTCATATGCATCAGTTAGAGAAGCCTAAATGTTTAGCTAGCAACATAGGTTTGTCACAAGGAATACACAAGAACAATGGACTAATTGACTAAACCCAGGATTTTAGCAAGTTATTTCTACATTGCAAAAGAAACATGTGCACAACGGTCTTGTTATAGTTTTAATAACCTTCTAATGAAGAAGCACACAGAATTCCTCATCAAAATAATGAAGTCTTCAGTTTTGGAGAAAAAAGCATAAACAACAAATGAACTAAGCCTTAAACCTGGTGTGCCTAGAAAAAAGCTGAATACAAAAAATAAGAGACTAATCTGATTTACAGAGCCTTACATGTACTTTTCTGTGAAATACATGTTAGGTAAAAATGGTGATCTCATTCTTAGGTGTATCTACTTGGTAATAAGAACACAGGCTACAGGAGCGGCATATTCTAAAATAAAAATACTCTAAAAATATTCTAAAAAAAAAAAAGCCTTTCATGTTTCCTTAGTTATCTTAAGTCTTTTCCATGTGACAGCAGAAGTGAGCTGTTAGGTGTTAACTGTCATTACAGAGAATGTGAGCGTGAGCACACGAGTTGGAGCAGTCTGCTTGCTAGCTATCTAGTTAGGACTAATTTCAAAACTCTTGTCATCTTGACTGGAAGATTAATAGCTGCTTCCTCCTGATTAAACATTGAAACCAAAATTATGGAACTTGCTGATGGCCTCCCTCATATGCTACATTTATAAACTTCTACTGTGAGCCACTCTGTAGTTTTACTTCCTCATTCAAAAAGCTTTTTACCCTTCTCTAAGGCAATAGTTAAATCACAAACAATATAAAATTATCTTTTTGTAATAAGGACAGATCATACAAATCCCTTTTACTAGTGCAGCCTTGTACCGTCTTGACTCTGTTGTACTGAACAGTAAGAGGGGTTTGCAGAAATATCTACTACATATTTTTTGAAAGTTATCCAGAGCCAAAGCTCAGTCTTACACCCAACCCCAAGCTGTGTTCGGGAATTCACTTCATCTGAGCATTTTCTTGAAGTCACTGCTGCCCGTTCCTTCTCCTTGCATACAAGCCAAGGCAGGCGCAGAATCCAACGACACTGACAGCGAGGCCTAGGAGGAAGGCAATGGTATCTCCTGCGTCCAGGGCTTCAACTACTGGCAGCACCAGCAGCAGCGACAAGAGGACCAGGAAAAGTTTTGAGGTGCTCTCGGTTGAAGGCATGCTGACAAGCAGCTGACCCCAAGGGGAAGTTAAATGAAGAAAGTGGTGGACAGCAGGTACTTCACTGCTATCTACAAGGAAAACAAAAGGAACGTTACATGATTTTCCTTCCTCCTCCCCTGGATTTGTCTTGCCAAAAGCCAACTGACTGATGCATTACAGGTATCTGTGTGGAGCTCATGAAATTTAGGTTTTGTCTTCCCAATTACAAAAGTAAATGACTTATTATCATGAGACAGCCACAGTGGATTTGCTTTCTTGTTATGTAACTCTGTGGAAACTAATCTTTTGAAGACTTACCGCGAGGTAATGTCAGAACAGGCTCTCCTGCCTGCAGCTACCAGAGCCTGCTGACCTGGTGCCTTGCTACGCGGGCCTGTTTCACCAGGTGTTCAGGGCCTGGTGGCTCCTGCACATCACTCACGCACACTTCATAACACCGGGCATCCTCGGGATCCCGAGCACGGACAGACTGCGGTACATTGGGGAGGGCGTGAATTTAACCTCCCGGGCAGTGCCACCGTGCTCACCCTCACTGCGGGACAAACGCCAGACGTGGTTCCTACAACTTGGAAAGGCGCTCCCAAGGAGCGCGCCGGGACCAGCCCGGACCGCCCTCTCCGCAATACTTCTTCCCGCAGGGATGGCTCGTTCCCGGGGTGCACACGACAAAAACCCGCGCCGGGACACCCGAATAAGCGGCTGCCCCGCTCGCACCCCGGCGGGGCCAGCGCCGAACCCCTCCAGCCCCGGGGCGCCCGCGCTTCCCGTCCCGCCGCTGCGCGGCTGCGGGGCGGCCGCTCCTTGGGGCAGCCCCCGGCAGGCCCTGCCCGCACGGTGCCCCTCAGTCACCTCCTGCCGCCGGCTCCGGACTGGGGCCGTCCCCGCTCCGCGCCGCCCGCGGGGCGCTCAGCAGCCGAAGGCGCCGGCCCGCGCCGCCCCGCCGAGCTCCCACTGCCCGGCAGCGGCCATGACAGGAAGGGGCGGTGGCGCGGCCGGGGGCGGGCGTGACCCGGCCGGGCCGTCTCCGCTCGGCTCCGTTCCACTCCCGCCGCGCCCACCGTGATTCCCCGGGGCGGCTTGGGGGCACAGCCGCTGCCAACTGCCCGGGCGCCCGCGGGCCCCGCCGGTGGCCCCGGGAGCGGTGCTCGCCAGGCCGACCTGGGCCTGGAGGGATGCGGCGGGGCCGGGCGCCTCCCGGGAGCCCCGGCCGGGGGTGCCGGCTGCTCCCCAGGGTGGCTCCCAGCCGGAGCCCCGGAGTGCCCGAGGTCCGATAAACGGGACCGTGAGAATGTCAGCAGAGGGAGCAGCGGCCACCTGCCCTCACCGCGGCACCACTGAAGTGAAAGTATAGAGACACACCGATTTGGGCTGGTCGTCTGATCTTTTTTTCTACAAATAAACGAGTAGAAGTCACCATGAGTTTGCATCATTTCAGATTTAGGCCCTTGTGATAATAGTACTAGTATGTGCCATCATAACCAATTCCTACTCTGAGGAAAGCAGTTCAAGCAGTTTTGTATGGTGGAGAGCAGCCTGTGCCCTTGTAAAACAAACAAACAAAAATCTAAGGGAGGTGTTAACAGGTAATTAAGTGAGAGCACTCCCCAAGATCTCAGCTCATCCCAATTTTTATCTTATTTATCCTTTGAATAAGGCTGCTTGTAGAAATTGCATATTAGGCTGTTTTGTTGCACTAGGTAGTTCTTAAGCAGAGCCCAGTCTTATTTACTGCCCAGTCAGTGGCAAAGGTGTGTGCCTAAGTTTAGATAAAAGACCAGTGGGCAATTATTATAAGTACATAATATGTTTCTTTGGAGTGCTCAGAGAAATAACCCAAAGAAACTGCTAATTTAATGTCAAAATCAGTATAAAATTGTAATTCATTACGACAAGCCTTGACTCATGACTGAGGACCCATGTCCTCACAATGTTTGCTATGACTTCTGTAAAAAAAAGCAACTTTTATAAACGCTTTTCTTTAGCAAAACAGTTTCTGATGAGCTTCTTTAAAGAGAAATGGAGATCCAGATAGGGCATTCAACATACATACAGCTTTGTCTTTGCCTTATAAAATTTCACTGTAATTGCCTTTGAGCAGCCATTCCTCATGGCTATAGGAACTTCACACATCTGAGGTGGGATATTACTTTTGTGCCAATGATAATTCTTTTATTAATGCCCTTCTTTTCCCCATCAGTCAGGATCCATCAGCTATCAATTGTCATAAATTATAAATTTCCAGGGATAGAAACATCTTTTTGCTCCTTTATTCCAAGTGCCATGAAAGCATCATCTTTATAAGCAGCAGTGCCTAGACTCTGATAATGCAAATAATAACAAATATCAGTATAACTCGTAACCATCCTTTTTATTAATTAAATGCCTATTTCACAGTTATTCAGATCTTAAATACTTCATTCTTCATGTTCAGTTCTGAAGGCATTTTCTCAATAAGGTGATGCCAGATAAACTCATGGGAGAAAAATCTGGAAATTTCTGAGAATCTTATAGCATGGAGAAGAGTAACACCATGATGCCTAGCCCATTGTCTAATCAGTCACAGACAGATCATAACCCCTAAAGAACCTGAAGAATGCAATTTGAAGTGCAGGATGTGCCATCTCCATCACTGCTGTCAGCTCTGAAGAGTGAGCCTTGGAGTCCTGGCCCTCTTAGTTCCTTGCTTAGTCTATTTACTGCGTCCTGCACTGTTGACAAGTAAATGTTACACTGTTCTGCAGTGTCAAAAAATGTTGGGTTCATCCCTCTAAATTTTGGTGCTGTATTTGTTGTTGCCACCACTTACCAACTAAAATTTTCGGTAGTTGTCATTTAGTCCCGCCAAATAGATGCAAAGAGACTGAACAATGACTTTCAAGTGTCTTTTGTAACTAGAAATGTCAGTACCGAGAACTGGCATTTTTGGAGCTAACTATTTTGAAGGTGAAGAGTGTAAAATCCAAGAGAAAGACTGGGTTTAGCACACTCCTCTTAGTATCTCAAGAACTGTACACATTCACAGACAGTTGAAATGACACAAAATACAGTATGTATGTAGAAAATATTGATTGTAAGATGTATAATTTATTAGTAACATGGAAGTGCCACTGAGAGATAGAAAACAGTGCCATTTGGGGATACCTCTTTGGCTTATTAGCTCTTTCAATGCAATTGCATTTTGTAGTTTGGCTTCAGAAACAGTGCTTCTTTGGAAAGAATCCAACAAAATCCAAACAGTCAAGGAGGCTCTGTTGGTTTTTGTGCTGTCAGAATAGCAGAGAAATGTGTATTCAGCTTCAAGCTCTGCCATCAACTTCCTGCATCACCTCAGGCAAATCTTCCTTTTGACCTATCACTGCTTTGATTGCTTAGCTCAAGCTATTATGTAACTAATATTCAGAGGAAAGTCAGAGAATTCCCAGAGCTGACAAGCTAAAGCTTTGTAAATTTTGAGCACAAGGCTAAGGAGGTAGGTATATTGTGAGACTGGAAATTGAAAATAAAGTGTACTTTCTGGAGCGGAAAAAGTTATAATCAGCTACACCCTGAAGGGGGTATTTGTGGGGGTTTTGGGTTGTTTTTTTTATTCCTCCTTCTTGGTTCATCTAGTTTTTTGGGAGCTGTTTATTTATTGCATGACCACACTGATCTGATATCATACTTTCACGCCAGCCAGCAACCTAGCCCCACACAGCCAGTGGGTCCCTGCCCCACCAGCAGGCTTGGGAGAGAGAATCTAGTAAAAACTAGAAAACTCATGGGTTGAGTTAAAGACAATTTGACAGGGAAAGCAAAAGCTGCACTCACAGACAAGGCAAAACAAGGAGTTAATTCGTTGCTTCCCATGGGCAGGCAGGTGTTCAGCCATCCCCAAGAGAGGAGCACCCCTTCACACATAACAGTGACTGGGTGCAGTGGGTTTGCATGGCCAAGCTTTGGTAGCAGAGGGGCTACAGGGATGGCTTCTGTGAGGAGCTGCTAGAGAGAGTGATAGAGTGTTCTGTGGGGGGCATCTGACACCCAGCCAAGCTCAACCCACTACACTTGGGAAGACAAATGCCATCACGCCAACATGTCACCTCCTTCCTCCTTCTTCCCCCCACTTTACATACTGAGCATGATGTCATATGGTCTGGAATGTCCCCTCAGTCAGTTGGGGTCACCTGCTCTGGCTGTATCACCTCCCAACCTTCCATGAACCCTGAGCCCCCTTGCGAGTGTGGTTGTATGAAAAGCAGAGGAGGCCTTGGCTCTATGTAAGCCGTGCTCAGAAACAACAAAAACATCCCTACATTATCAACACTGTGTAAAGCACAAATCCAAAACACAGCCCCATACTAGCCACTGTGAAGAAAATTAACTCTACCGTGGCTGAAATGAGCATGTCTGAGAAGCTTTCTGAATAATTTTTGACATCAGTTGCACTGCTGTAATGAAAAAGGCTAACTGGTTATAGATAAGATGCTGACTATGGGGCAGTGATTATCACTTCTGCATGCACATGTTCACCCTTGAGCTACTTTTCTCTGATGATACTTAAGCTGACATTTTAGCTGACTATCACTATGTCCTCATCTTTTCACTTCAATCATAGATCTACATCCAGTTTTTATCCTACAGAAACCATTACTTTCTTCATTTGGACTTCACCATGTCTTTCTCCTTCTTTGAACAAATAGGCTCTACTTCAGCTACCTCATTTTCTTCTGCAGAAAAAGTCTCAAAGTTTAAACACAGAATTAATTACTTCTATCGTTAGCTTTTTCCATATTTACTTCTTGGTCTGCTGTCACACAGATGTTGATTTCATCCTGCCTTTTTTCCTTTCCATTTCTCAAATTCCTTAAGTTTCCTCTCAAATAAAGTTAGGTAGTCACAAATCATCCCTGTCATAAAAACACCCATTGGATTCCCTTCCTCTACCTATCACTTCATCTGTTTTATTCCTGTCATCTCTAACCTCTCCAAACATGCTCTTCAAAACTCCTCTAATCCTACATCTCCTTCAGTATGGCTCAATCCTTGTTCCATCAGCTGGATATCACATGGACATCTCCACTTAACAATTTAGACATGAAGGCCTGTGTTTCATCACTGGCTCTGACTGATGGACTGATTTAGAAACTCCCATTCCTCTTCCCAAAACCAGCAAACACTTAAAAAAACCCCAGTGCACTTCCAAAAAATCTGTCCTCTCCCATTTCTTCTTCACTTTTACTTTTTGAATCTTTAGTGCTGGCTCCTCTTTCTTCTGCTGCTGGGGATGTGCTAGGCTTCTGTCTGTGTTTTTTTCAGTTTTTGACTGTCTGGATATAGTGCCCTGGATGCATCTATTGACAAATAGTTTTGAATATCATCCATGACTCATGTTTTCATCTTCCCTCTCTTTTTATTCCCGCTCAATTGTGTTGAAGTCTTACTGCTTGTAGCACAGGCCTACTAACAGTTCTCTCTGCCTGTATGACTTAGTCATGTCCTGCCTCTCATTTTGACCCCTGCAGCTTTGTTTATTCAAAGTGCTGCTGCAAAGGGGCATCTCTCTGGCTTCTCATTTTTACTGTGTTCCTTCTCTTTTTAATCCTCTGGTTGTATTTCCTCTTTTGCTGAACAAAAGACAATTTTCTTCTCAGTCCTAGAAGATCTTTGCAGTATAAGCTTCCTTCACACTGGCTTAACCTATTATCATTGTCAGGAGGTTAACTTCTCCTTTTCTTTTGTCACCGTGGCAGACTCCTTCTGATCCCTTCAAGAAGCAAAAGTTGCTTCTTTCTGAGAGCACAGAAAGGCTTACAGAAAGAATGGTGCTGTTTTTGATAGAAAATTCTATCCTTTGGGGTCACGTACTTCCTGCTGTCCTTTATACAGACATGAAAAAAAAAAGGATTAAATAGCCCAGTGATTCCTTTTCCCTCAGTCCTTTAGCCTGGCAGGGGATCTCCTCTGCCTGCTGGAATCTCTTTGAGCTCTCTTGCCAGCACTTGAGAG